TGCCCTTTACGCCACAATGCTCCAACCGTGTGATTAAGATGCTGTGGTCAACAGTATCAAAGGCAGCGGTCAGATCTAAGAGCAGAAGCACAGCTGAGTCACCTGAGTCAGTGGCTAATAAAAGATCATTAAGAACTTTTAAAAGCGCAGTTTCTGTGCTATGAAGAGTTTTAAAACCAGACTGAAACCTCTCAAGAACTTTGTGTCCATTTACAAAAGATTGCAGCTGAACAAATACAATCTTTTCCAAAATTTTCGACAGGAAGGGAAGCTTTGAAATAGGCCTGAAGTTAGTGAGGACGGAGGAGTCAAGATTAGGTTTTTATAAGTACAGGCTGAACAACAGCATGTTTAAAACAGGCTGGCACAACACCTGAGCTAAGGCTGCTATTAAAAATAGCTAAAATGTCAGAACTGACAACCTTAAAAATCTTTTTTAGAAAATGTGTTGGAATAATGTCATTTGGACACGATGATGTCTTTGTGCCATAACATACTTCCTCCACCTGATCAAGACACACAGGCTCAAACTGATCAAAAACAGCAGAGCAGGTGAATATTTTAGACGCGTCATGTGAAGGCAGGGCGATCATGGATCGAAGCTGTTTTATCTTATTGACAAAAAACTGCAAGAACCTTTCACAGGTGTCTGAGGAACTATTAATACAAGAAGCTGGGGAAATATTCAGGGCAGAGTCAATAATTGAAAAAAGAACCCGAGAATTATTGGAGCTATTCTCAATAACATTAGAAAGAAACCTTGACTTTTCTGCTTTAACAATGTCCTGATACCTGTACAGACTGTCTCTCAACATGAGAAAGGACACCTGCAGCCCATCTTTTTTCCACTTACGTTCAGCCTTCCTGCACTCTCCTCTGGCTGAACGAGTGGCCTTATTTATCCATGGGTCTGGTCGTGGTTTCGAGTTTATAGTTTTAAAAGGAGCGACCTCATCAAGGACAGTTTTGCATTTATCATAAAAATTAACTGTCATTTCCTCGGTACCAAAGCCAAGGGGAGATCTTATAACTTTTTTAAAAGCAATAGAAAATTGTTCTGTTGTAGATGGGTTAAAAACACGACAACGACGTGTTGAAATAAGAGGTGTAAAATGGCGAAGAGATAAAAGTATGTCAAACACAACAGGACAGTGATCAGAAAAAACAGCATCACATATTTCCATGTTTAGGACCGGTAACCCTAAAGACAGCACAAGATCCAATGTATGACCCTGTTTCTGGGTTGGCCCAGACACAAGTTGAGCAAGACTGAAGGAGTCTATCAAACTTAAAAAGTCTCTGGCCAGCGAATTGGAGGGACAACACACATGAATATTAAAATCTCCTACGATTAAGATTTGATCGTAGCTTGGCACAGTTCCAGCTAAGAAGTTTGAAAAGTCTTGGGTAAAATCCTTGTGATATTTTGGAGGTCTGTATACAGCTGCAACGAGTGTCGGGCGGGGATGCCCCAATTCAAACGCCAGAAGTTCAAAACTAGAATACGAGTCAGTTAAGAGTTGTTTGCAAGAGAGCTTCTTCCTAAAAACAGCTGCCACTCCACCACCACGCCCAGTCATCCTCGGCATATTAAGATACTCACAGTCATGCGGTAAAAGTTCAGTAAAACAACTGGACTCACCGACTCTCTGCCAAGTTTCCGTTAAAAGCATTAGATCCAGTTCCCGATCGGTAAAGAAGTCCTTAAGAATAAACGTTTTGTTTGCTAGCGATCGAGCATTAACAAGACTTAATCTCAGTGGTACAGGTGGCTCAGCGGCCGATGTGGGTGCCCGACCTATCGGCCGTAGATTCTGAGGGTTTACTCCACCTGAGCGAAGACGGGGGGGACACTGGCGCGGGGTTATTGTCGTAAGCCCGACAACAGGTGTCAGGCAGGTGTAAGCCATGTCCAGAGAGTGCCAGTAGTTGACGCGGTTAAATCCAGTCGGGATAGGGTGAGGTATTTTTCGAAATCGTGTCCAGGTAGCCTTCATTCTCACCAATAAGCCACTGCGTTTCCCACGGCGTCTACGGCGCCCTCTCAGTTGAGGTAGCGCCGGAACGCAACGGAGACAAGCTGGAACTCCTGACAGGAGCGGTGGGGAGAAGGTTCCCTGATATCCACGATTGCAATAAGGAGTTTTTAACTGAGAGGATCTTAAAGCCAGCAGCATTTGGCGATCATATACAAGCAGAGAGTTAGCATGTTTTAAAACAAAGTAAAAATAAAACACTAGTACAAACAGAATCAGACGGCAAGCCGTACACACTGGCGCCATCTTGAATCATAAACTGAAAACCATGTCATGTGACTCGTTGGCAATGAGTGAGTACACAGGTACTTCACAGGTGTGTACTAATTTTCACATCTGAATTTGTTACTAATTTACAAACAAACGCAGGGTTCTGTTGCCAGCAAAACAAACATTTAGCAAATTAAAGCAAATATTTAGTTACATGTTGCTTTATATTTTGTTATGTTGCAGATTAAGTCATTTGTGCATACTTACTTGGTTCTTTGTTTTCAGTTTTCATGTAGGTCAGGTGTGGGGTAAGGCCCGCCTGACATTTCCTGATTTTAAAGTACTGATAATGTCAGATGTGACATCAGCAGGGTAAACCAAGATGAGGGGTTTCTTCTACCATAGGAATGCTTCCTTTTGTGTGTTTCAAGATATAAAGGGATTTGTTGAATCTTTTTTTTTCGTATATAGAGCCATTTAGTTGTTACATGTGCTAATCAGAAGTGTGAGGAGCTTTTTGTAATTTTCAGTCATCTGTGTAGAGTTTTAGATTCCTCAGCGCAAGTTAGTGGTACTGGCTGGACTCATTCAAGGGAAATTTATAGCCCTATATATAGTCAGTCTCTGCTTGATTAAGATGAGGGTGAGCTTTGTTACTGAATTCATGTACTTTTGAATTCGTTAATTAAGTTACATTGGGGGGGAGTTTTAAGTTTCACATATGAAGTTCTCTGTAAATAAATGTCTCATCTCTCGGAAGCCTAAATGTCTCCTGAGTCTGCTTCCTACCACCTTCCTTGACGTTTGAGTCAGACTACTTCACAGGCTGAACATGCGTTAATGCGTCATCACGATTAATGCAATGAAAACCTTTAACCCATCTAGAGCGCAGAATGGACAAACTTTGTACAAACTGGCCGAAATGCGTTGACAGTGACATTTCCGGCATTTTGAGTCATTCTGCGCCCTAGATGGGTTAATTACATTAAAGGTTTTCATCACATTAATCGACGGATTAATGCGCGTTAACGTTGACAGCCGTAATAAACTCACTTTCACCTTAGGTCTATACAGTCTATTATTATAGTTAAAGAGATCTGGTAGACTCAAAATGTAAAGTTCATGCATTCATTTACAGTGAAAGTTCAATGCTAAATGTAAGTGATGGAATAGCAGTCAGTTGTTCTCAAGGCTCAAGGAAATTCTACAAAGTATCTCTCCACTAGAAAATAGTCTCGCTATCTCTCTCAGTAAGTCACATCAGAAAGAGATCCAGGAATCCTGCACACATGAAAACAAACAGGTGAGGCAGAAGCATAAACAAACACCATGAGGAGTCAGGCAGGCCAACGGCATTGTTTCCTGCATAACAATCCAGCATCAAGTAAAGGTCTTCCTTCTCCTTAAGTCATGGGTGGGGAACTCCAGGCCTCAAGGGCCGTTCTTCTGCACGTTTTAGCTTTCACCTTGGGTCAACACCCCTGAATCAAATTATTAATTCATTACCAGGCCTCTGGAGAACTTCAAGACATGTTGAGGAGGTCATTTAGCCATTTAAATCAGCTGTGTTGGATCAAGGACACATCTAAAACCTGCAGGACACCAGCCCTTGAGGCCTGGAGTTCCCCCACCCCTGCCTTAAGTAGTAGCCAGTCTGATCACAGGAGAGTTAATCATAGGTGTGCTGGCCTAAAGGGTGGGTAGTGGAGGAGAAAGAGGAGGGACCCCCTTCCAATTATTTTTATTTGAAATGCTTTTTGTTTCTAAATTTCAACAAATGGCAATGCATATTCTATTTGAATTTATTCAACTCAATTTGTCGTCATTTGTTCAGGGGCTTCCCTTTTTCTTATTTTCTTGTAATAAGCTAGCTTGGCCACAGTGCTCTTTGCTGACATTTTAGAGAAACTTATCTAAGTCAATCAATATTCAGCAGCACAGTGCTCTTTCGCCTCTGGGAGAAGTGACAGAAAAACACTGAGCATTAAAACAGCTCATGACCTACTTTTTCACTTGCATATAACCTCAGTCCATTGGTTTAAATCAAACAGGAATGCCTGCTGCATCTGCCCCTCTCACGAACAGTCATGTGATTGACAGAGAGAAGCAGCCAATGGGATCAGTGCAGTTTATGTACTATGCTCTCTATGAGATTTGAAGCTGACGACAAACCTAAATGAGACACTATATGGGTCCTATCTTGTGTGATCACTTTTTGTAATAATCAGCAAAGTCTTTGTTTTTAACATCATTTAACATATATCTGATTATGTCTCAAAAGTGATTATGGAGTCCTCACAGGGTGTGTGCCTGTTACTGTGCTCTAACAATAGCATATATGAGTTGATCAGTTTTAATCATACAGTAGTAGAGATGGTGCACAGAGCAGTGCTCACATCTGCAAGTATCTCCTCTGATGGAACTGTGTTAGTGAGCTGGGGGAGTCATGCTCTTGGTTGGGTGGCTACCTGGAGTTTCTAGTTCAGTTACACTCCCCTCTTTTATCAGGGTTGGCTCATTTTGCTCAGTATTCAATAGGACAGCGAATTTTTCCTTCCTACTGTTGCCAAAGTGTCAAAGTCTTGGGGATCATGTTTTCTTTTTTTTTTTGAAAATATTTTTATTGAAAAAAGAAAACAACAGTACTTGCAGTTACCAAAATACAATCGACCTTTCTTCATTTTCCTAAGTAAATAAACTTATACGTATATGAAAAAAAACAACACATTCTAAAACAAAGACCCCCGTCCCCAGTCCCACACAGATCAACACAACCATCAAACATATTAGAGGAATATAACAGTAACAGAAGTACATTTAAACAGGCAATACCTCTAGACTAGCAAAATAAGAGATAAAGGTCAAAGGAGCTTGCAAAGAAAAGCGACTGGACTTCTCCAGACGTCCAGACGCTTTTCTTTGCAAGCTCCTTTGACTACGATGACCTGGATGACTGAGAACCTTCACAGACAAGAGATAAAGGGTTGCCACTTGTGAAAAAATTTGGCTGTGCAACCTCTCAACGTATATTTAATTTTTTCAAGTTTTCAAAAAAACATGACATCTCTAAGCCACCGGGTAATAGTAGGATACTTAACAGACTTCCAATGCAACAATATTACACGTCTCGCTAATAGGGATGTGAAGGCTATAATATCCTTTTGTGTGGAATCAAGTGTAAGTGAGCGAACAGGAATCCCAAATACAGCAATCAGAGGACAAGGACGAAGAGTTACCCCAAGAACAGTTGACATAATAGCAAAATACCCTGTGCAGAAACTTTGTAGCTCAGGACACAGAAAAAACATGTGGCTAAGGTGACAAGGAGAACCATGGCATTTATCACATTTATTTTCCACTTCTGGATACAATTCAGAAAGTCTAGACTTAGAGAAATGCACCCTGTGTATGACCTTAAATTGAATAAGTCCAAGACGAGCACAGGAGGTGGAAGATCGTACCCTCGCTATAGCCTGTTCCCAAGACTCCTCATGTATTCGAATTCCTAGTTCTCCTTCCCATGTACACTTAAGCTTAACATTAGAGTGGTTACTAAAAGACAGAATAGCATCATAGAGTTTCAAAATGGTTCTTCTGTGATGAGGAATAAATGATAACGTAGTTTCCCACTGCTGTTCTGGAGGTAAAGAGGGGAAATTTGGGAAACACTTGGCAACAAAATTTCGAATTTGAAAATAGCGAAACAAATGGGTAATAGGGAGATTATAACGAGAAGACAAGTTGGGAAAACTAGGGGATCATGTTTTCTGGCAAAACTGAGATGAACTTCAGGGATCTAGACTAACTTTTTGCCACGGTTGCAATGGTGCGCCTTACTTTTTTTTCTTAGGTGCACCAGCACAAAAGTTAGGTGCGCCCAAATTTTTCAACCACATCGCTTAACCCCACTGTTTTACATGTTCACATTTTTTTTAACCGCTGTCCATACAAGCAATATTGATTTGTAAATGATTAACTAACAATCTTGTCAACACAAAGTTCTTTATTTGAAGCACATTTCTACAATAAAGATAAGTTACTGAAAAAGTGCTTGTGCTTAAAATGCGTTGGCACTCTTTGGTAATATTGTAGACAATGTTAAACATAACCTTCATCTCGGCCGCCTCTGACGACCTGTTTGCTGCTGCCTGCTGCTGAAAGGCAGTGGGGATAGGGGACATCTTTTCTCATTACCCACAGCTACATCCACTTCTGTCAGGCCTAGGCGTCTCACTAGGGCTGGGTATCATCACTGATTTCTATAATCCATTTGATTCCAATTAACAAACTCCCATTTCGATTAATTTCGCTTCAATTTTGACTCAGACAGTCAGAAATATTATAATTCTGATTGTTTATCAGTACTGACACTGTGAGACTTCATCAGAGGTGTGATCATCTCAGCAAATGCCTTTGTGTCAAAGTAACTGAGGATAAAATACAGAAAAACATGAGGGAGATTTTCCTGGCCTGGCTTTTTATAGCAGCCTTAAAAACATTCTGCAGTAGAAAAAAAATGGAAGAAAACCATGAAGCTCCATGCTGAAGTGAAGCAGAGCAAAGTTACAGAGGTTTGATTAAAGACACAGCCAAGCATTTTACAATTTGGCATAATTTTAAAAAGTTAAAATTTCTGCGCTATTAAACAGCAGAAATGAGGCCTTCTTGTTGAGGTCATTTTTGGGGAAAAAAAACACAACAACAAAAATATATAGACAGCACTGTACATGACTTGTGCGTAATAAGCAAACGAATAATGCAGAAAACAGAGATTTGAGGAAACTGCTCTTGAAGTACAC